AATTGAAAGGAGGGGAACTTTTCATTTAACAAGTTAAATCCAAACCTATAAAATACATGTCTTAAACCAAAATTCTTACACTGTTAATTTTTAAAAGCAACTTAGTAGGTCAACGAGATCTAGTGAATATTAAGATATTCAATATATCTTTTTATGTAGAAAATCAGGAAGTAAAATCTTTAGTTACAAATTTCAGCTTTATCCAAAAAAAGACAATAGTCAGAAGAGTTTTATCTCACCTAAATTTAGTCATCAAAAAAGTGGGTGTAAGTGCATCAGTGTCACTCTTTAGCCAACAGAATGAAATTGTAGATTTTAGGCTATTATCTGAAATCTCTGACTTGATCAATCTTGAGTTTAGTCTGAGAATTAGATCCTTTCATCATCTTGGAAACATCTCTTTTTCTTTGACTTTGGGAAAGAGTTTAGCATTTCAGAGTGTAGCTATCAGCATTTGTTGAAGTGACTGCACACTAACATTTGTCAAGGCTATTCCTGTGTAATCACCAGGCTTTGAGCTGGACTGAATTTCAATCCAGTTTTAATCCATTCATGAAGCCATCCATAGTGGAAGACTTTGCAAATTGGAAAACAGATGAAAAAAATATTAAAAATCATTTTAAGGTATTGTGACTTATAAAATGTTCAATGGGACTCTGTTTTTCTTCTTGATACAAACTATGACTAAAAGTATCAGTTACTATGCAGTAAATAATTATCATAAATAATTACCAGTTAACTTTTTTCTAGCATAGTAACAATCTTGAAATGGAGGTCTGCAATATTTTACAAGTCCTCATGAAAGATGCTGTGCTAGAAGGCCTTAATAAATCAAACCCCATCAGTCCAGGACACTAAAAAGGGCACCCTAAGGATAGTATCACATGAATTGGCAGCCCATGCTGTGGCAATTCCTGTTCAGAGTTTGTTTATTGGTAGGATTATGCCTGGAATCAGATTGGAGCCCTAGTAACAGTCATTTTCTTATCGCACCGCACAGAAAGGTGCTAAGCAATGTAGGTCACCAACACTGAGGATAAGGTAACTCTACCAGTCTCAGAGTAGCTGGCTTGTGGGAGCTGGCAGCAGGGTGAAAATCATGCAGCAGTTGTTTGGAAAGAAAGATTTTCCCCCCTGAGAAACCTACAGAAGGCTCAGGAAACAAGAGACAAAGGGGAAGTTTTCAGATCTGTCTCAGTTATTGGGATACTAAAAGTAAAATGGCTTTTATGGCCTTTTCCCTCCTTGATTTTAGAGACTGTTTTCTGTGATCTCTTTGAAGGAACAGAGCAGAGGAAAGAAGTGGAACTCCAACCAGAGCACATGCTCTGGAAATGTCTCAAATGAACTTCTTGAATTTGGGACGTTTGTTTAAATTGCAATCACATACTTGGTATTAGGATAGTTACTCACTGTTTCAAAAACATGCTTTTCAGCCTTCCTGAAGATCAGGTGAATGGTTTGCTCTAGTCATGTTCTACGTGAGATCTCTTACAGCCTGATGTATACTCTTTCTAACTATGGTGAAATGATTAGCAGAAGAGTTTGCTTGCCATGCTTCCTTTCCTGTTTGAAATGTTGAAGCATGCAGGCAGATTGTACAAATGTGGAAACACCGTTTTTTGTTAGTGTGAACCTGTGGGCTCAATTTTTTTTATGTTTTCTTGGCCAGACAGTTAGAAGGATTAGGAAAAATAGTTCTTCTTCACTACTTGGGCATTAGATGCATTCTGTTTCTTCTATGCTGCTTTTAGCTCCTAATTGAAATGGAGAAGGTGAACAATGCCATGAAAACAGAATATTTTTGAAATCTGTGCAGCCTCTGTAGGAGCTGTCCCAACAGGTCTGTTCCCTTATTCTCAGATCTCCTAAACCAAAGTACAAGTTGAAGGCATGGATGGCTTGATAGGAAGGGGTGGGAAACAGCAGGCATAAATAGCTCTTAGTAAGTGCACAGACATCACAATAGGCAGAAAGAGAAAACAGCAGAGTGCCCTTGAAACAGGATGAGTATTGCTGCAAGAAGAGCCTTATTCATACCTAGAGAGCAGACAGGTTGACTGGAGTGAGCAGCAATGATGCCCATTGTAGCACTATGCATTCTTACCACTCCATGGAAATCAAATGCCTAGCTAGAACTTGCATTCTGAATTACTGACAACCACTAGCAGTGTACTGGTGTTACTGGTTCCTAAAAATTCACTAGTGGAAGCTTAGGACCTCTAGGTTTGCAGCACATCTTTTAAGCCTCTACTACCTCAAGGTAATGAGAAACTTGCCCTAAGACGCATGCAACAAACAGAGGCAATAACTCAAGGGAGAAAGTGAGTATTTAAAAGACTTCAGAAAAACACAATGGCAGCTAATACATACTGCTTTCTCTGCAACAACCCCCCACCACTGCTTTTCTATTTGTTATTTCCCTACCTTTCCCCTCGCCTTCTACTGTACTGGCTTACCATAAAATTTGAATTAGTGTCTTCTGCAGCAAACCTCAGTAACTTGGGTTAAGTAACTAATTCATTTCTGATTTAAATACAGGGTTTAATTTTCCAAAATCCATGTGATGCATTGCTTCACAGGGAAGAGAAAAGGAAAATATTTGTATCTCCTCAATTACTGTGAACGTCATGTCATGGAACAGTATTTGGCAGAGTAGCCTCACTGATGCATTAATATCTGTACAGAAATACTTCTCTTTTTCTTACATAGAGTCTTGAACAATCTGTTAAAATATGATCAACTCGTGAAAACACAAATAATGGAGACTGAAGGTATGCAAAAAAACATGATCAAGGAATCAGCTCATCACTGAGAGTTTGAGATTGTTATAATGATGCTTTCAGTGAGAGCTGGTTGTTACTGTAAATTTATCTTTCCAATTCCATAATTATAAACAGTGAAAACAGTATCACTGCAGTTACACAAATTTGCTGCCCAAGAATTTTTTATGCAAAAAGCCACCATGCACAGACAGAGTGTGTCCTTACCCTCTCTGAAGATGGTGAAGCTATAAATGTTTAGTGTACTTGAGTCCACAGTGTTGTCTGCTGTTTTTTTCTCTGCTAAAGGTCTTTTCAAAGCACATCCCTTCTGTCCCTTTGGTGTGGCAGAGGACAAATGATTGTTTCAAACATTGTTGCCCGCTGCTCTGCCGCGTGTATTTGGAGAGTCCCCTCTGACAAAAGGAACCACAGTTCTTACAAAAGGAGTCAAAGAAAATCAATATTCATATTACTGAACTATGTCTAGCAGAGGATGAGCAGAAACGGAAGCAGTCCCCATGTTCCCTACCTCACTTGGGGGAGAAATGAGTGGGCAGGCAGGTGCAAGGAGGTCATCAGGGCAACCACAGCTCCAGGTCTTCAAAGGTACCTTGGAGCCTTCTATTTTTTCTAAGGAATGTGGCCCTTACTTGCCTCCAACACAGTGGCAGCACTCTAGTTCTTCATTTTGTTCTTGCCTTTTTGTGTGTGTGAGAAGAGGTTTTAGTACTATTTTCCAGAAGCAGTTTGAGAGCCTCTGGGAAAAGAACTAGGCAGGAGCAGTACTAGTACAAATAAACCTCGAGGTTATATGTAGCTAGAGATGACAAAAATAGCACAGACCTGGAACTACAGTAAGGACAGGGGTGAAATAGGCAGAGAAAGACAGAGAAGTCTTCGGTGACTTGGAAGAAATAGATGTGGAATGTACTGGCTAGCCACAGTTTTCTCCCAAGAACAGCAGAAGGATCATTATGGATCTTGCAATTTGTAACAAAGAAGGTGCAATTAAGGAGGATGATTCATTCTTAGAAACACTTATTAATTAGTTCATGAACTGTGATGAAGATGAGCAGATATAAAATATTAATTTCTGTGTGATGTTTAATTAATATATCCTCAAGTTATGGTTCTCAAAATAAAAAAATAATATTTTCAACTAAAGTTTAATTCTGTGATAAGATTCTACTGAGTACGAGCTTTTAAGTCCTGCTTGCCAGAATAGTATTTTAAGTCAGTTCTGCTCTCATAAGTGGGAGCAGATTGTATTTGTCTGAGACAACATACCACAGAGATACTTTCAAAGGTAACCTTGTTATGTAGACTGCTAATGTTCTGATAATGGTGAAGAGAACATAAGTGATTCTGTTGTCTATAGTATGGGGGACTGGAGTCTTCTCTTAGGCAATTCAAAATGATGGAAAGCTGATTTATATGTTGCCGTGTTCCAGAAACATCTCAGTATTGCTTTAAACTTGTAAAGCTCTTCTTACTAGGCCTGTTGTAACTTTTATTCTATGTTCTAGTGCAGATACTGAGGACTTCATCTCTGTTGTGCAGTGTGATGTATGCAGTCATCCTTATCCTTGCCCGCGCAGTAGCACTGCTTTAAAACCTTCTGTCCTGCATAATGAAATGTGAACGCATTTCCCCTCATAGGACTGAGCCATGACGAGACGTGAGCCACAGGAGAGAAATTCTATGTGCAAATCTGACCAGAGCTGGAAGCACTCAGGGCTGGCTGTTAGAGGAACGTGATCTTATTTCTGTAGCGTTGTTTGGAAGTGCTGTAATTTCATGTGTATGGCTGAGAGGTTCTGTAATGAAAAGTCCGTGTGTTAGACACAATACAGGCTACACACACGTGGGTAATACAGTGGAAAGTTTGTGCCTGAAGTCTCTATGCTTATAGCTGTCCTCCAGCGCTCAAGTTCTCTGCACACCAGTTTTCTCTCTTTACCCAGAGCTCCTGTGTATTTGCTTCTGATAATGTGAGGGTCGTCATTGGGTTGTTTGAGGCGTGACTTGAAGTACCCAAACTTTTGATGAGGTGTTGTCTCATGTAAAGGGTTTTACAGCTGAAATATGATATAGGAAGCCCAGAGTCAGATTGCTTGAGGGGAAAGCAGTGTCAGCTCTTGCTGGCTTGCCCAGATGACTTCACATTTGAGCCGTCAACTCAGTACGTGTTTCAACAGTCCACACTACATGCAAGCAGACAAATGTATGGTCTGATTTGAGGCTTAGAGTAACTTTATTAAAAGTATTGAAATTCATTAGTAGAATATATTGAGTTTAAAACATCAGTAGACATGTACAAATACTTTGTTTTCTGGGCAGGAAATTCATATGAGTGGGTGAAGCACTGACTCCAGCCACGGTTTGTTCTTGCTTATTCCAAGATTCCTTATTTTTCCCGAGTTCTGTTTCAAATGAAGATGTAACTGAAATAACCTAATGAATGTCGAGAGTAGGATAAGTCTTCCCAAGTACGAGTCTGAATAGCATTGCATTCTTAAACTTGCCCTAAATTTGCTCCAGTCATCCCTTGTTGAAAGTTTGCATATATCACCATGACCTGAGTCTAAAATCAGAGCCAACAGTACAATACTACATGTAAGAATAGAAAGCCCAAGGATCTCCTTCTGAATACTCCACTGCTCAGGTGATTGCCTGACACTATTTCTTATAGTTTATGTAAGTTTGAGTAACCATAAAATCATATAGAGTCTTCTGAATCTTGGCACACAGTGCAGAACATTGGCCCCCCATCATTCTGGAGGGCTACTCTTTTCCATCTCTGTGAGAAGTAATTTTCTTCCCTAAAACATGTGAAACCATCTGCGGCTTACCCTTAAATCCTATACTAGTCATGACAGCAAAGATGAGAAGATACCTACATTCAGTTGTAAATAAATATTGACAAGCATTTCAGACAGTAAGTGGTGTAACAGAGTCCAGCTATAACATGAAGAAGTCAGCAGACATTCAACCAGTGATTATTAGATTCCAGCAAGTCCATTTTTGTTCAGAGAATTTATTGCCCGTAGGAGTTACAAGTGGATACCAAGGCTTTCTTCCCTGTTGTATGTGGCAGTGATGACTCTTCCATTTTGTTGGCCTCAGGTGCCTGCCAAGGACAGGATTATCTTCTTCTGGTAGTACGTCTTTGGTCTATTCTTTTCATAGCTCCCCGCACCCATTTCTGGTCTGGGTGCACACAGATCTTGATACCATTTGTGGTGATAAACCTGCAGGGGAATGAAAGCCAGGCACCCATTAAGTTCTGGTCTCCAAAGCCAGGTTTGCAGTTCTGTTTTTTTTGTTGTTGTTGTTGTTGTTTTTTTTTTTTTTTTTTTATGCAGACATGAGGACGAGTGTGGTAAAACCATATCACACGCTAGAGTTTAAAATGGTTACTTGGCGTAATGGCAGCTAGCAATATCAGTTCCCTATTCATGGCATGGGTAAGCATGTAATATATGTGATTTCATGCATGCATGCTGATAATTAATTTAAAATGTAGCATTCCTTATAATCTGAGAATTTATGTGAAATTGTGATGCTCAGTTCTTTCCTAGGAATAGGTGTCCTGGATTTGATTAGAAACTACATGTGCAATACAGAGGCCAAACACATCTCCTACCAGCTGTTACAGTTATTCTGCCAGCTTTCGTGAGCAACATGTGTCTTCAGAATCTCAGTTATTCCACCTTTTGCCTCTCCCCTTCTGGGTAGGTGATTGACTCCTTCACAGGGAACTAGAACAGTGACCTGAATGAGCCTGAGTCTGCAAGCTGGGCTGTGATGTGTCTTCTGATACCTTTTCCCTTTTTGATGGAAGCTTGTTTGCCTAGTTGAGTTTGGAAGTGGGCCGTGCATTAGGTACTTACATGACAGCTTCTACTGGAACTTTCTGCTTTTCATAGCTGACAATGCTTCTGATGTCCACTTTCTGTGCAGACAGATTTACACAGGAGAATTTGCGCATTGACTGACTTGCAATGCTCCCTGCAAGGGGAAGAACAAATGATTGACAAAGGCAGTCAATACTGTATTTTAACCAGAAAACTAAATTAAACTCTAAATTATGAGCTCCAGCTGATTTCCAGCTATGGTTTGAACGGGAGCGTCTCATGAATGTGCAGACAATTCCAGTGATACAAGAAAGCTCAAGGTATCTTTTATGACACATACTACTGTCTCTCAAATGTCATTGGAATCTTCATGTTAAATCATCATACATATAGGTGCCTGTATGAAGTAGTGCATCTTTACTGGATAGATTTTGAAATATCATCTGAATATGGTTCAGTATTACTGTCCCTGCTATCCATGTGAAGGAAAAGTAAGTAAAGCTTCTTCTTTCTCAATGGGCATCCAAAGCTAGCATTTAAAAACACACCAAAACACATCAGTACACATACTAACTGTTGAAAGATAGGAGATTGAACTGGCAGAATGCTGACTTCATTGCACGCTTGCTGCAAATCTAGTATCAGACCCAAAAGAGTGCTAACCAATCCCCTCTTTCCTCCAACATTTGCATGTGTTTCAGGGAAATGCAGTTGTGATTAATAAGGAGGACGTATTCTCTGGAACATTCTCTGCACAGCTGTCACATTACATAGTGGCAATAAGAAATGGCTGCTTAAGTGAAGCACGTATATATTACTGGAAGCTTTTGCTTTTGGTTTTCCTTCACCCATCAAAGATAGATAGGTTTGGAAAGGCACAACAGGACAAACAGAATGTGACTATATTCTGAGGTTTATTCTTGAGGAATGTATAGAGAAGCTGGCTTGAGAAGCCCAAAAGTAGTTCAGGTACCATTTGCTAACCATAACATCTTCCTTGGATAGTCTTACTATCTGTCAGCTTTTTTTTAAATTTGAAATAATTGCAATGTGCAGTCAGCAAACACAGCCTGCAGAGATGCTGCATCATGGCCAGTGCATGGGTACTGGCAGAACTGCGGACTCTTGGGGTTTTGTTTGGCTGAAGAAGTTTCTTCTGAGCTTGCATTAGTCTTAAGCAGTGCCATATGTTTGTTGCAGTTCAGTACAAGAACATACCTTACCACAGCCCTCAAATTGCTCTTTTAAAATATAGCATTAAAGAGCTCAAAGGTAGTTGGACTGTTTTTATTATCCCTGAAAAGATCCCTTATACTACAGCCTTAGTATCCCTTCTACTGCATCATTTCCAGGAAAAATGAATAAAAAATAATGCAAAGAATACCCGCAGAGCTTCTCTAAAACTGAGAACAAAACCAAACCACGTATCCTGGAGCATGGCAGTACAAACTGTCAGTTGGTAGCACTTAGCCACGTGTTGCTGAGATGAACAGCAGCAGCATTAATCAAACTATGAGAATGTAGAAAGATCCAGCTCTAGGGGCACTAAGATATCATACTCAGCATGTGGATACGTCGTTTTATGAATGCTTAGCAGGTCTCAGTTTGGTTTTCATGTGGTTTTGTGAAGTGTTTTTATATTTGCATGCTTTTGTGGGTTTGCAGATGGCTTACATGAGTGTTTTCTGTGATTTTTTTGAGCTCTTTTGCCTGAAGCTAATTGTGCAAGTGTGCTACATGTAGTATGTTTACATGATACACATGGCCTAATCCAGAAGCCATGGACATAGACATCACTAGTTGTAAACTCATTCAGAATACGACTAATAAACATGGTTCATTTCAATGCACGTAAGTGATCTCCAACAAGATATTAAATTATATGAAACCTGGAGGACAGAAAACCTTGTATAAATACCCTGTTTTCTTTGCATTTTTTGTTCTTATCTGTTCACTCCAAAATACTTGTTTAGAAAGAAGGAAATATTCAACATGCAGAACTGGAATAACTTCTAACATCTCGGGGCATCAAAATTGTTCATGACCATATGGTCTGAGTTTAAATAAAATTGAAAGAATATATATAATAGAATCACAAAATTGAGCTGGAAGGAACTTAGGGACCATTAATGGCCATCTAGTCCAACTCCCTGCAATGAACAGGGACACCTACAGCTACATCAGGTCGCTCAGAGCCCTTTCTAGTCTGACCTTGAATGTCTTCAAGGATGGGGCATCTGTCACATTGCATTGCATCTTCAAGCTTTCACGGTTTTGAGAGAGAAGGCACAGAAACTCTGTAAGGATTATAAGGCATAGAAAATTCTCCTGGCACTGAGGTAGAAGCCAACCTACTAATCAACACAACATCAGATAAAATCTCCCATAAATCCCCTTCTGCTATAGCACCTTTCCTTGCAGCTCTAAATCGGATTTCTTGCAAGTTTGATCACATGCATCAGCTCTGCGTGAGAATGAATCCTGCCTGACTCTTCAGACCAATAGTGCAGTGAGGAGCAATTCTTTTCTTAGGTTGTACACTTACCTTCTGCCTTGTGCAGAGCAAAGACGCCAAGCCAGACGATGACCAGGATAACTGTGGTGTAGAGTTTCATTGCTGGTGGCTTCTCTCGAGGCAGAGAAGAAAGTGGTTATGGTGAGGCACCTCTCACGGAGCTTATATATTGTTATTCAGTGGTCAGTTCTTGTGTTCACTCTTGGGGCGTCATGGTGGGGTTGAGTGCAAGTGGAAAAAATTGAGTGTCAGTACTTTTTCTGGTGACAGAACCACCTGCTTTCCCCCACCCATCCTTCACTAGCCCCCCTGTGAAGGCTTTTCCTGCTCAAACCCCACTGTGGTTGCACTTGCTTCTGTGCTGCAAGTTGGGTTCATTTCAAGCTGCAAAAAGTGAGAGCTCTTGCTCTGTAGTGGAAACCTTTAAAAAATGTTCCTGTACTTTCATGCCTCAAGTTACATTGCTGCAGCTAAGGCTGACCACAGAGGTACAGAATAACATTCAGGCTTACCACTTTGACCAGTGGACTGCTTGAAAAGGGAATTATGAGCTAATGGATGATGCAAAGAGGAACAATTTGGCTTTTTCTGTAGTAGCCGTAGATTGTTCATCACTTTAATGTATAACTTAAGATGCAGCTTTGGAGTGCTGTCAATCCCATCTCATGTGTGTATTTTAGCTTGCCAAATCTTGTTTTGTCTGCAATCTCAATTCAAAGCAGATACAAGTAATGCTCTGGAAAAAGGAGATTGAGTATACTGTTATATAGAGAGCCAGTTCCACTCTCCTGCTAGCCTTCCAGAGCTATGTTACGGTGGCCTCAAAGAGGACTAAGAATTCATTAAGCCTAAGTCTTTTCGTATTACACTCTGTTACTAAGAAAGGAGATAGAAAAATAACCAAGCCATCAGGCACAGTTCACAGAAGAGAGGAAAAAGGTTCACTACGCTTTTGTGTAAACGTGGTGTCAGTAACAGGCCTGTCAACTTGTTTTTCCATTTATGCCTCTGTCAGAGGTGTCCTTTTACACGGTCTGTGCAGTCAAATTACCCTGTGCTGTGTGTCCTTCCTATGCTGTGGTGAGGTGGTCTTGGACAGTACAGAGGTTTTGTACCTGCGCATGTTTTCCAAGCATGCTGTGAAACTCCAGGCACCACATGTGGCAGGACCTGAGCTAACAACGTTATCTGGAGCCTCTGAGGAGAAGTCTTCCTTCCCAATAGAGAAGCCACACTTTTCACGCCTTCAGAGACCCAGCTGGGCCTGGTATCGATAGGTGAGAACCTGGCTGCCTGATGCATGAGACAGAAGGCAGTGGTTTAGAACAGCTGTCAGCACAGTGCCTGGAGCAGATGGGAGTCTGTTGTTTCCTCTCAGCAAGCTACTTCCAGCTTTTCAAGTTCTTGGTCACCTCAGTCTAAATTGCTCTACAGGGGGAAGTGCAGTCCTTCCCCAAGATTGCTCAGAAAAATTAAGATGGAGCAAAGAAGTGAGCTCACGTGTTTGGCTCCTACGTTGTAGTGGCTGACCCATAAGACCAGGAACAACTTGTAGCTCTTATAGCTGCTATAAGAACATGCTACTTGGTTTACTTGCCCATACATGCACAATATTTGTTCCTTACAGTTTGATTCTTTCATCTGTGTTACGCAATCTAAGGAAAATTAATGGAAAAAGTAGAATGTAAGCAGATGTAAGATACTTGCTGCTTTGTTTGAATGGCTGTTAAATCCACCTGTAATACCAATGTAAGTTGCACCAAAATGGAAAATTGGACCCAAAGCTTTGAAGCCAAAGCTTCTTCCCAGTGCACCTGAAGTCAGTGTGTAATGCCACAGAGAGGAGGAGTAGCACGGACCTGAGCAGTGCTACTGGGGAAACTTGATGTTAACTCTTTGTCCAAGCACTGCTGCTGAACGCTGCCTGAAATAACTCCTAGGATGAGATATTTCAACTTGTTGGTGTGTGGCAGCTTTGAGACGCAAAATAGCAACCTTGTCATTGATGACCACATTTTTTTTCTGTGCAAAGAGAAGGGATGCTCCCCCACTTCTCACTGATATGGTGCATACCTGAATATATAGACTCACTGATATTGCACCCACAGCACTGAGTGAAAGGGTCACCAGCTGTACAGAAAGAGAACCAGCTCAGAAAAAGAGCCCCTTACAATAGCTCTTGCAGTTTGTAGATTCATCCCTGAGGTAGCATTAGAAAGCCTGTTTCTTCTTCATTTTTTTCACCATTCTTGAGGTGGGATGGAAAAATTGCTTTGTGGCAAATTTTCCCGATCTTCATATTTCTTATTTGCTGTGGCCTTCAGGGCTGTCCGGTGAACCTGATTTATGTCCAGTAAAGTCTGTTTTAGAGAAGAGTTTGATAATATGGAGTCCCCAGACCTTGTGAATAAACTCACTTTTCCCCACAATCTAATATATTTGCGGTTCTGCAAAAGCTAAGTGCAAGATCAGATGTCTGGTCTTTCTAGTTTCTTGCTGCTAATTCATATTAAGAAGAATACTAATAAGTTCCCACTGGACTTTTCCTATTACTGCTTCTCAGCTCTAAGTAAGTTGAATGCTAATGATCATTCTCCTGGGTGTGATTGACTCTTGTGTGGTTCACCTAACGTAGGATGCTTTCTGAGCTTGCTGGAGTGAAAAGACTATTTCCAGCTTGTGATAAAGCCATGGATAAGTACGATTGTTTTGATTGTACAGTCTGAATTGTGGATTAAGGTGATTAATTTGACCACGTTGCTTCCCCAACTCTTGGCTACGTGTCTGACGTTTTGCACACTACTATAGCTGCATATAGGCAGTCAATACTGTATTCACATTTTAACCACAAAACCTTCCTCTAAATTATGAGCTCCAGCTGATTTCCAGCTATGGTTTGAACGGGAGCGTCTCATGAATGTGCAGACAATACCAGTGATACAAGAGAGCTCAAGGTATCTTTTATGACACATCCTACTGTCTCTCAAATGTCATTGGAATCTTCATGGTTAACTCATCTACAAATAGGTGCCCATATGAAGTAGTGCATCTTTACTGGATAGATTTTGAAATATCATCTGAATATGGTTCAGTATTACTGTCCCTGCTTTCCAAGTGAAGGATAGGAGAGCTACTTTTTTTGACAGTCTTATTACCTATGCACTTTTCTGTGTTTGAAGTAATTGCAGTGTGCAATCAGCAAATTCATGTTATCCTGTAAGGGACTGCCACATGGCCCATGGATGGTTACTTGCAGAACTGCTAATTCCTGATTAAAAAATTCTTGTTTGCCTGAAGGAATATCTCTTCTGAGCTTGCATTAGTCAGAAGCAGTGCTATATGTTTTCTTGTAGTTCAGTACAAGTACATACTGTGTCACTCCAATTATCAGAGCGAGAGGGGATATTCTTTGATATACCTGGAGTGAGACTGAGACAGAAGTGAGGTCAAATGTTGTCTGACCAGTTTATTATCAATTTTAAGTAATGGGGAAGGTAAAGGCTGGTGATTATTACAAATCAGGGTGATTGGAAAGGCAGGCAATAGGAAAGATAGGAAAAGAGCAAAAAGTATGTAAAGTGGGGACAGTCACCACCAAGGATACAGCAGCGTCTCATTGTGCACTATTCTGACAGTGCATGGCCATGGCAGGAGTAAGAGCGCATGGGTAGATGGTGACAGAATGGCTGGCCTTATGCAGCAAGTAGGTAAACATTAGGCAACCAACAGTGGGTCCAGGAAAAACAGGCTGGTCTCGGTAGCAGGCCCAGGAGACTCAGGCAGCAGGCAAGTATCACACCACAAGGTGTCCCATATCCAGCAATATTGGACTGATATCTCCTGTAAATCCCATTCTGCTCTAGCCCCTTTCCTTGCAGCTCTGATCTAGATTTCTTGCAAGTCTGATCTCATGAATCAGCTCTATCTTGAGAGTGAATCCTCCCTAAGCTCTTCAGTAGTGCAGTGTAGAGCAGTTCTTTTCCTACTCTTAGGCTATAGTTACATTCCACAGTGTGCAGAGTGAAGATGCCAAGCCAGACTGTGACCAGGATAACTATGGTATGGAGTTTCATTACTGGTGGCTTATCTCACAAGGCAGAGAAGAAAATTATCATGAGCCACCTGTCACAGAGTTTACATACTGTACAGCTGTCTGGACATGAGGCAATGTCCAGACGCTGCTTTATGCTGGCCATGTTTTGGTTTAGAGCTTGTTCATGATGCTTGACGGTTAGTTTTAAGCTTTTGCTCTGTCTAGAAAGACTTGACTCCCACAGCCTTTGTCTCCACAGAATAAAGTACTTTAGGTTAGAGACTCTAAGATGCTGATTTTCCAATCTGAAATATTTCATTGTTTGTATTAACTAAGCTAGTAAATATTACCGGACACAATGAAGACATGGAGCAGCTGGGTCAGGTTCTCATGTGGAAGAGAAGAGAGATCGGCTTCAGATCACCATTGACTGTGTAAGCTCTGCCAGCAAGTGCAACAATCAAGATGAAACACAGCCCTGGGAGAGGAGAGCAATAGCAAACTCTTGCTCAAGATGCTCAAGGGCTCTCCACAGCCACCCAGACCCTATTTAGGCAGATCAGCTTCTCTCCGTTTCACAAATATAATGACACAGAAGAATGAGAAGGACATGTGAGAACCATCATGCAGAGCAGGAGGCAAAGTCAGAGCCTACACTTGTACAACTCCTAACCAGCTAGTGAATGCACTTAGTTCTTAGTTTTAGGAGTTCATTTTAACTGTAGCAATTTTTGTACATACCCTAATTCATGTCAGCAAACCCAGTGAAGGAAAAAGAACATGCAATGAGCTGCACGCTGACCCTGATGTCAGAATTTCCTTACCAGGGTATGAGTCTGACATACTGCATCTTCTCATACTGTCCTTACCTTTCAGAGTCAGGCCAAGATCTTCACAAATAAGTCCATCAGGCAGTCCTAGAAATGAGTATCTTTAGTGACTATTCCACAGCCCCTGGAACTGGAAGATGCCCCAGAGGGTCACTGAGCTAACCGAAGAATCTCAGCTTAGACACATAGTTCTGAAAAATCTTGACTATAAATATCCCAGTCAAAAAAAGATTTAGGTGCCTTTATCTTTTCCCTGTGCGTATGTATACTCTTCTTCACTTACATAATTGAAAATGCTACAAATTTTCCTTAGAGGGTTACTGTAAAGTTGTAGATGTTAATTGCTTTTTATTGGC